CTCCGTCCGGTGTGTTTATGGCCTTATTGCTCCCATGCATCCAAAGTGGTCCGGAAGTGTCAACAAATGACGTCACCAAAAGCTGTAGTGTCAGGCTGTCCGTTGTCGCGATCCTGGCGGTTAATCGTAGAAGTTCCGGCCAAAAAAAGGCACGAGCGAACGCGAGTGTCGCTGTCGTCGCGGCGTCCCAACTCCAGGCTTGCGAAGCTTCCGTGGTCTATAAAACTGGAGAGCGAACTCCAACAGAACAGGTGTCTACCACGTGTACCATGGCTGCTGGGATACCACCAGGATCGCGACCGGCCTCAGCATGACACTTCTCTGACGTCATCATGGCCGGCGTCGGTGGCGTCCTCACGGGAAAATCCTGATTGGTCGATAGGGTCATGACATCACAATCACATGACCTCGCGCGGGAATTTCAAACAACTCACAACACTCCCGTGAAACGTGACGTCACGCGGGGTATAAAACTGATTCAAACATGAAAGCAATGAGAATTAAATGTCGCCGCATGTCTCAGATAATTTCACTTTCTTGGGTGGTGCCAGCTGAACACTAATGAACACCCGTAGAAAAGCAGGGTGCCATCTCATTCCAGAATGCGGGAAGAGTCAACCTAGACAGATTTCTGGAACGACTGAGTATCTACTAAACAGCGACGGTAGTGTCATCAGGATCAATGATATACAGAGAAAACCAGTTTCTTGCATCGAATCTCGTGTGGCCCCAGTTTTCTGTGGTGTGTTTCTCGCCGTTCCTCGCGGCATGTGGACGGGAAATTCAAAAGATCGTCAAGGATCCCAGGATCGAGGTGGTCGTTAGGTATGTCGACGATTTCTTGATCTCATGCAGCATGGAGGTGGATAAAGAAACTGACGGGTGCCGTGAAATTTGTTTGAGATGTTTCCAACAGCGCTGTTTTAGACTCACGTTCACCCACGGACTTCCTACAGACAGGTCTACAAAGTTCCTGGTTTTAGCCCTAAAGTTTACGGTTGGTCACGTCTGCTGGAGGTACCAAGCTAGATCCGCAAAGGAATCCTTCCTTTTGACTCTGTATATTCGAAAACTTTAAAACAAGGTGTGGCCACGACAGCACTTGCACCTGCCCTTCAAAAGTCTTGCCATCATCAAGTTCGGCGAAGCCTTCAAACTCAAATGGCAAGGCTACAGGCTGCTGGTTACCCAAATACATTAATATAGTGACCTGTGAAAAAAATCTGCAACAACATCAAGCAGAACCCTTGGTAAAATGACCAAACAAAGACAAAAAAAAAAAAAAAAAAAAAAAAACAAGAAAGCTTATTGTGATAGAGTCTTATACCCGTGCCAGACGGGCAACTCGAATGTCATTTACAACGAATGACATTCGTGTGATCGGCGAATTGGCTCGCGATCTTTCGCGTGTGGAGCGCCCCACTTTCGGAGTGTCGCGCGCCGATTGGCCGATCGTTCAAATGTCATTCGTTCTAAATGGCATTCGCGTTGCCCTTGTGGCAAGGGTATTATATCCACGGCATCACTCACAGATTGAAGAAAATTGCCGGACGGCAAGGCGTCTACGTGGCTTGCTCCGCGCCGAATAAGTCATATTCCACGTGTCGCAGGGTATAGCAAGAGGGAGATTTCAAAGGAGAAGTTTGTGGCATTGCTCACAGGACGAAGCATGCGTCGTCTGAAAAAGGAGGCATATATGACATCCCTTTGTAATGCGGCCGATGCTACTTAAGCCGAACCAGTCGTTGCATCAGTGACCGGACAGGGGAACATGCTGCTTCATTAAGGAACATCTCAGCAGGGTGAGATCTACCAGTCCAGTGTCGAGAATGCCGGTTCACTGCAAGTTTGCAAAACATTAAGGTTCTGGGGAAAACAAAGAAAAACTTGCGCGTGAAATCCTGGAGGCATTGGCAATCGATGAAAAAGAAAATTGTGTCAGTGCCTCTTTTTAGGCGCTGTACCAGCGAGAAACACTGTTTTTGTGGGGGTCCTTCAGGGGTATTGGCGACGTGCGCGATCGAAAACGTCGCGGTGGTCGCCCTTCCACGATTGGCCGAATGCTGACTATGACGTCAGCAAAGTAGTTTTCACGGGCGGAAATAAGAGGAACGTGAGGACTTCATTTTTGACGGTGATGACAGTGTTGGTTCAAAAACGCTATGATTTCAAGTTTCCGCCATGCTAATTACAAACACCATCGAACTTGTTGTTTGCAAGGTATTGACGTCACGAAAGGTAACCATACGAGAGTGCCACCGAAACATCTCGCCGCTAATTCATATGAGGGAGAAATCCCGGGGATTTCTCTACGGCGCGCGCATCCCGTGACATAAACGTGAGGCTTTTGCGATGTGCAAAAGTCTGGCCTTTTCGTCTCGTGATTCGCGCGCCGTGGAGAAATCCTCGGGATTTCTCCCTCGTGTGAATACCCCTTTTTAGGACACCAAAGAGCTCCGCGTTTGTAAATAAGCATAGAAGTAGAGGAAGAAGGCTTTAATCCGATTTGTAAATGAGGAAGAAGTAGGCTTCAATGCGAGGGGGATCGGTGCACGTGGAGGCAGCTCGGAGCCCGTGGAGCGAAAGCTCGCGCTGCAGAGCCCAGTATCTTGTTTTCAATCCCCACCCGTGCCCGTTTCGATCTGGACGAGCATCGTACCGTCGTGCGGTCGTGTATCACTACTGCGTGGTGCACGTAAAAGACCCCAGGTTAGCGGTTGTACCGCACTGGCTAAATTGCTCATCTACAGCTGAGACATCAGACGCCCACTGATTTAGACTAACTTCCGGCTGTATAAACATACAGAAAATTTGAATTGATGCTTCAATATACAGGGTGTTCTTAAAAAAAAAAAAAAATTACAGGCTGTATTTACAGTCGACTTCGAGGGAAGCACCGTGCTGGCCTTGGAGAGGAATTGGCAAAGGCGGCTCTTCGTTGAGTCTTGGTTTATCCAGCACTCAAGGGGGAACGTGAATCGTTCTTCGGGCTCCCTGCCCAGCAGCAGATAACATCAAGTGCGCGTGCAATCATACTGTATCTTTATACAACCGCGTTCGCAACCGCTTTGCGAACGCGGATCCGCTTCCAGTGTGAATGAGCGGTTATGGCGCATTCACTCTGGCGGTTGAGCTGCGTTTGCTAAGCGGTTGTGGATGCGGTTCGCGAGCGAGCCCGTTCAGACACGCCGAGAGGCGGTTGGCGGTTGGAGGTGATCACGCGCTTGGCGGCCCTGTTACAATCCAAAGCCACGATTTCCCTATTTTGGCACTCTAAAGATTTTTTTTTTTCGGGATGTTCGCACGCGGGACGAGTTCAGGTAGTGAAAACAGGGACATGGACCCTCAAAACCCGCCTGCTTCCCTCGACTTCGCCCACAAGCAATGTTCAGCTAGGCGTGTTTTGCTCACTCAGAAGAGGATGACTCCGACCTTTTTTTTCGAAGTGAACCCCTGCCGCATGAAAAGCTGACCTTGTTTTCGGGATGGAGGGACAGTTTTCCCCCTCGTTGTTCGCTCTTATCATTTTCGGAGTTGTGAGCGGCTATGGTGTGACGAAAATAATCCCTGGAGAAGGAGGACAAGGGGGACAAAGAACAAATCTCCAAACACAGCTAGGTGTTGGAGATTTGTGTAGCACAGCTTGGAGTTGAGCTTCACAACCCAAGGGTGGGAACCTCCTGGGTTCAATCCGCACACCCCGCAAGTTTCAATCTGGATGTGTAATTACTATACTGCATGATGCACGTTAAAAACCCAGATTAGCGGTTGTACTGCACTGGCTAAATTTCTCATCTACAGCTAAGAGGCCGGTCACCCGTTGAGGCGTACGAACACCAAAGCTGTATAAACATACAAAGCAAGACTTTTTTTTTTTTTTTTCCTTTGTACCGCGGTGCGGGGGAATGTGTTCGGTGCTAGCCGGTCGTGGGTTCGTTGGTGGAGGACTCTCCTCTCATCACATCCACGTCGATCGAGTCTACTGTTTGTTTGACATTAAGCTCAAATAAACGCCGTATGGATTACCTCTGCTGCTCTGCATCGTCTGGTACGTGCACCTTATTTCTTGAGTAGGTTCCCTTTATTCGTTGTAGTAGTAGTAAACGTTACAAGTCGAGCTAGCGCAGATACCCTGCCAGCTCCGCGGTAGTGTGTTGGCTACGCAAATAGCCTGACGACGTCTCTATCGGCCTTCGTGGTGGTCATGCACGGTGTCGAAAGCTTTCAATAGTTCACGCGACTATCCCGGTGGGTATAAAAGCTGACATTTCGGTCGATCAGGGGCGGGTTCCGACGCTCTACGGGCAAAGACTAACAAGGCAGCGAGCGACGGGCTGTGGCACCCCGAATAATAAAGAAACTCTTATTCGAACCAAAATCACCGGAGGATTCAAGTGACGGACGCGAACATCACGTTTCTTCGTAGATTTGTCTGCTGTAACGCTAGGACATCAGAGCCTTGGACGCCTCACAAGCGAGAAATGCCATCGTATTTCGAAAGCCACCGACGTCACGTCAGCGTCGCGTTCCGATTGGTTGCAGCTTCGCGGTGCGGGAAAGCGGTTCCGCTTCCAGTGTGAATGCGCCATAATGGCGCATTCACACTGGAAGCGGATCCGCGTTCGCGAAGCGGTCGCGGATGCGGCTCGCGAGCGACCCCGTTCAGACACACCGAGACGCGGTTGGCGGTTTCTCGGCGATCACGCGTGATCTTGTGAGACTTGCGTTTGGCAACCCTGTTTTACAATCCACAATCCACTTTAATTCAAGATCCAAAGCCAAACTTTTGCTATTTTGGCACTCGGAATATTTTTCTCCGGGATGTTCGGGCGCATCACGAGTTCAGGCAGCGAAAAAAGAAGCATGGACCCGCCAAACTCGCCTGTGATTTCCTCGATTTCCGGAGAAAAGCTCACCGGAGAAAAGCTCACCGGAGAAAAGCTCACCGGAGAGAAGCTCACCGGAGAGAAGCTCACCGGAGAAAAGCTCACTGGAGAAAAGCTCACCGGACCAATGGAGAAGGCGGAGAAAAGCTCACCACGCTCAATGAGTGACTCGTCTATTTTCACTTCCACATATTATTTCCGCATTAAAGAGCGAAAGTGATTTTGCACAGAGGAGTCATAAATTGAATGATTTGCGTTTATTTTCTCTCAAACATGAATTATTTTTTTCATACACGCACGTTAGAATCGAATACAATTTCCGACCGCTTCCAGAAGGGCTGGAACTTGTTTGTGCTCAAGATAGTCCAGGCAGATGTTCCTGAGGCGGTCCTGTAGGCGCCTTGTCGCCCTTTTGGTCTTCTTCGTCGGCGGTTCCCCACGGCTTATTTGCAGCAGCATTACCTCCGATAGGGCTTGATCTTGTTGCAAGCAGTCGATCAGCTTCCATATACTGGGCTGGCTGTGCCCGACAAGCTTCTTAAACCCGCTGTTCCATCCTTCGCATGCGTTATTTGTGCGGTCTTCGTTGTTTAATGTGGCTTCTAACACGTTCCACACTGTCGGCGGAAACTCGGGGCGTCGTCGGCGCATCGTTGTGGTTAATGCGCCATCAGCCACTCTCGATGACACTGCTCGGAACGTTCCGTTTACATACGTCGCGTCAAAATAGTCGATGAGGTCATCGAGGTCTGTTGGAGCCTGACCACGGATGTAGTCCAGCCCAACTGGAACAAGGTCGGGAGGGAGGAATGCGAGGCCGTCTAGCATTCCACACATCTTCTTGAACCTGTCGTCCGTCTTGTACCTGCTGATGAGGCCCAGCTCGCCTACCTTGAAAAAGAATCGAACAAAAAGAGATACGATGAGATCCTGATGCGGTTGCATTAATTGAGTTTGACGTAGAGGCTATATCTTGGTACTGGGGAGCTAAGCACTTCAAAATTAGTCAAATGCCTTTTCTTTGTTTTTGATGTCATATCATAGGTTTTATGTTGGTTGGCCATAGATGGTTGGTACTAGAGGCGTCCATATTTCTTTTCAAGATTATTTTGGGAGTAACGTTACCTTGCGGTGGGTACTCTGGCAGAGGTGAAAGAAGCAGCCTTTCGTGGTGACATCTTCTCCGAAGACCGCTTTCGACGCTCTTATGGCGGCCATCTCATAGTCGCTAATGATGATCTCAGGGTATGGAGCATAACCGTTCGCTTCACACGTGTCCAAAATCGATTGAAAAAGCTCTTCGTATATGGAGAAGGTTTTGCCTGGGAGCAGAGCATAAACGCACGCCACGGTGCTCTCCCCAGCTGTACACCTCATAACGTACAACTGTTTAAACAGTCTTGGGCACACCGAGAATGTTCCATCCATGTACCAGGTTCGGCTTGTTGATAGTGCCCGCAGCTGTTCGTGGCTTGCAAAAACGAGCATGCGGTCTCGCCTCTCCGGCCCGTTGTCATAGATCAAAAACGGTTGCTTTTCCGGCCCTCCGGGCATTGTCCAGGTATCTCGTAATTGAATATCAGCAGTGGTCTGGGGTTCCGGCGGACGCACCTTACTTCTTTGCTGGCGCAGGTCACGACGAATAGTCTCGAGGCTACCGATGCTTTCGCGCACGGATGTTGTTGAATTGCTCAAAGCCTGAGCAAGCAGACGGCTAGGAGGTTCTGCGGTCTCTACAGCTTTCCTTTTTAGCTGGCTCCTTAGTTTGGTGACATCAGAAAGGCCATGATTGTTTGCATGATTGTGCTCCTGCACTGACCAAAAGCGGGTAATCTGCGTTTAAAAATGACAAAAATTTGTGTCAGCAATAATGTATATGTAACTCTAAATGTAAAAACGAAAGAAGGTTTTACGTAAAAACGCTTGTGCAAATAAAGTGAAACATTACTGCAAAACTTGCACACAAGCGAAAAGTATGATATTTCGTACTTACATCAAGATTGGTGGTGATGGCTCCCTTGCAGCAACCTGTTCGTTGGTACCGGCACTGCCAGCGTATCCAGTCGGTTCTTGTAACTTTCATACAATATTCGTACCCATCTAGAAGCACTTTCTTCTTTCCCTTATTGGTCAGAATGACCTCCATGACACAAGGAAGGCAGGACTGGTCACTTGATAGGAGGTGCTGTTTATATATGCAATTTCCTTTAGCTCCTCTTGCGTAACCATACAGCTTCTGACCAATAAAAAAGCAGACTGTATTTCTCACAAAGAGAGCGGAGAAATACTTGTTCCCAGAAAAAAAATGGGAAACAATAGGAATGCCCTACAATGTCAAGGTCTTCAGCTACAGCGCCAGTCAGAAGGATGTTATACATAAAAAAGACAGAAGAACCATGTAAGAGAGGGTAAAAGCGCTAAAACGTACAACACAGAGCGCTACTTGCAACTGAAGTTTATTCCCAGGAAACACACATATATACACACCGTGAAATCGCGACATGTACTTTAGAAATGCGACATCACCCCCTCATCGCTCGTCTGTCCGCTATCTATTTTACAAAAGATTTCAAAAACGCCATCTCAGAGCCAAACAGGGCTATAGATGGGGCGATGTTTGGCTCTGAGATGGCGTTTTTGATGTTTGGCTCTGAGATGGCGTTTTTGAGCGCCCCATCTGTAGCCCTGTTTGGCTCTGAGATGGCGTTTTTGAAATCTTTTGTAAAATAGATAGCGGACAGACGAGCGATGAGGGGGTGATGTCGCATTTCTAAAGTACATGTCGCGATTTCACGGTGTGTATATATGTGTGTTTCCTGGGAATAAACTTCAGTTGCAAGTAGCGCTCTGTGTTGTACGTCTCTTTAACTTGTCCGTTGTTTTTAGCGCTTTTACCCTCTCTTACATAAAAACGCAACAAACCAAAAGTTTTTTTGTCGTTTCATTCAGTTTCGGCAAAAAAAAAGAAAACAAGTAGGAATAATGATTATTTCTGGCAGTCTTAGTGAACTTTTTTACTTGCACCAAAATCTAAGTGAGCTTTTCTCCGCATTTGACACTTTTCCGGTGAGCTTTTCTCCGGTGAGCTTTTCTCCGGTGAGCTTATCTCCGGTGAGCATATCTCTTTTTGAGCTTTTCTCCGCTCCCCGATTTCCTCGACTTCGCCCACAAGCAAATCCCAGCTAGGCGCGCCTTGCTGACTCAGAACAGGATGCCCCCGACCTTTTCTTCGAAGTGGACCCTTCCCGCATGAATAGCTGACCTTGTTTTCGGGATAGAGGGCCAGTTTCCCCCCTCGTTGTTGTTCGCTCTTATCATTTTCGAAGTTGTGGGCGGTGGGCTGGACCGTGGTGCGGGGGAATGTGTTCGGTGCTAGCCGGTCGTGGCTTCGTTGGTGGCGGACTCTCCTCTCGTCACTCGCTCGTCGATCGAATCTACTGTTTGTTTGACATTAAACTCAAATAAACGCCGTATGGATTACCTCTGCATTGTCTGGTACGTACACTTTATTCCTTGAGTAGGTTCCCTTTATTTATTTTATTAGTAGCAAACGTTACAGGTCGAGCTAGCGCAGGTACCCTGCCCCCTCCGCGGTAGTGCGTTGGCTACGCAATCAAGCTCACGACGTCTCTATCGGCCTTCGTGGTAGTCATGCACGGTGTCGAAAGCTTTCGATAGTTCACGCGACTATACTAGTGGGTAGAAAAGCTGATACTATTTCGGCCGATCAGGGGCGGGTTCCGACGTTCTTCGGGCAGAGGCACCGAGCTTGGGCTTGTGGCACCCGGAATAATAAACAAACTCTTACCCGAACCAAATCACCGGTGCGAAGCGCGTTAAATTTACGAGTCAATTCTTTTCGCGGCGGATTCAAGTGACAGACGTGAATATGAAGTTTCTCCGTTGATTTGTCGAAAGCTAAGACTACAGCGCTAGGACTACAGCGCATTAGACGCCTCACCAGCGACAGGTGCCATCTTGTTTCGAAAGTCACTGACGTCACGTCAGCGTCGCGTTGTGATTGGTTATCGCTTTGCGGTTCGTGAAAGCGGTTGGGAGAAATCGGTCCCGAAGCGGTTGGCAAAAACGCGCTCCAACCGCTCGATCCTAGCCGCTTTGCGGTTGAGAACGCGCGGATCCGCTTCGCGAACGCGGATCCGCTTCCAGTGTGAACGTGCCATAAGCGGGTGGCAAAAACGCGCTCCAACCGCTCGATCTCAGCCGCTTTGCGGTTGAGAACGCGCGGATCCGCTTCGTGTTTGCGGATTCGCGTCCAGTGTGAACGCGCCATTAAAGGCGAAGCGTCCTCCAAGGTTTTCTCTCTAGGTTTTTCATTCTCTTTTTGTTGTTTCCCTTTCTTTTTTTTTTCTATCGCTCTTTTTCTCTTTCTCTCTGATTTTTAGACGAGCACGACTTTTCGACAATGAGAATAACACAACAAAAAATGCGTTTTCCTCTTTTTTTTTAGAAGCGTTTTTTTTTTTTTGGAGGGGGGGGGGGGTTTGCATATAAACTGAGTTTTTGCGTGTATTGTTTGCTGTTTACTTTGTGCCGATGCTCTGTCACGACAAGGCCTATTGTCATCTCGCGTGTTATATACACCATCCGCTTTCGGAACCGAAAGCGCCCTTCCGGTTCCGGTTTCAAGCTTGCGAGGCGGAGGCAACCCACCCTGTAAATGGACGCCAGTACCTACTGTATCTGCCTAAATCATGTTCATGTGGAATTATGTTACGTGTATGGTCAGGTTAGGTATATATAATCAAGCTAGGTGTTTAATCAGATTGCTTGTAATCAGGTTACCACCTAAGGCAACTCACAGATTTCTTTAATTCGACAGGAGTATGGGTAGTGAATTGGCTGTATACAGCAAGACAACGCGCGTCTGTATATGGCTGTGCCATCCGATTATGGATATTTTTGTATCAGCGTTTAACCTGATCTTGTGCATTCGTGTATCGGTGTATAGCCATGTTACGAATACGGGACAGTTACGTGCGCAGCCAGTTTACGTTTTGTCCGATTGTGCGTGATTGGAACATATTTGTGCTCTAAATATGCCCTCTGCCATGGTCACGCTTAGCAGCTGTGGGCATTATAAACTACCGCTTGCAATGTTTTTAAGTCGCGGCTCCGATGAAGGAGCCGGCACAATACCTCCAAAGTAAATGCAAAACAAACAAACAAAAAATTTTTTTTCTACAAGGATTTTTGCACATTACATTTTCATGGGAATACGCTGGCCTCATAGAAGGTCTTTGATTTATATCGAAGCCTGCTGCGTTACTCCTATTTGCTACATTAGGATTTATATTTAGGCGCGGGTTTTAACGCTTGCTAGGCATTATCAGTCTGCATGGCGATTGATCCGACTCGATCGTGTACTAAGCCGAACGGTTACTTTCAAACATATACGTGGGTATATGTTTGAACACTGCAGTTTAAATTTATCGAAGAACCGACACTACCCTATTAGAATTCGCTTCGTGCTAAGCGTGATTATTTTTTCGTTGTGGAAAGCATGTCCCACGTTACTCTAACGCAAATGTAAGCCGACCTCGAGGCGCTTTATTTATTGATATATGTTAACACAGTAACGATTATTAGGCGTGATCATACTGTATAAGGATTCATCCGACTGGATCATGTTAAAGGGTGCTTAAGTCGAACGGTTCGTCTCAAGCATACATCGGTTGCTGCACCGCATCTAAATTTCTTGAAGAAAAACTACACTACTCCATTAGAATTCGCTTTGTGCTATGCGGGATTATTTTCCGCCGTCTGGGCGGGTCGCAGGCGAAATAAGGCGCGCATGATTGGGAAGCATGCCAACGATCCGTCCCAAATTACTCTGGTAACCCGGCCTCGTGGTGCTTCGGTAATTCATATATAAGCGGCTTTTTTCCGAGCCGACGGGATTTGCAGGTAAGCGCTTGTTTAACTTT